CTACCATCTTATAGATGGGCATTTATTGGAGTTCAGAAAGGGAAAAAAAAATATTGATATTTAGTAGCAAAAGCTTGGCATATCTATGTGACACAACCTGTCTAGGGTTAATGCATAGCATGGTTTCCATATATGGATATGTCATATCTAGAATTGGATATTTCCGTGCATTGCCAGCCCAAAAATAAAAAATAAATAAATAAATTTATTAATTATATATAAATTTCATTCGTACATTTCATTTTAAAAATTTTAGCCCCCCGTACAATGAATTCCTGGCTCCGCCCCTGCACGTGGTGTGATCAATACTCTTGAACTTTCTAATATCTAACACACTAATGATGACATTGTAATGTGTTTGACAACACGTGATGCTGCAAAGACAAGTATCTTATCAAAACGATGGAGGTATAAATGGGTTAAACTACCTCATCTGATATTTGATGTTACATTGTATTTGTGGCAAGAAACAGAGAGATTTCAAGAATTCGAGGCAAATGAGAGAACTATGAAGTTCTTGATGTTCCTTTACCGGTTCTTTTACGTCAACATGGACCCATAACTAAGTTTAGTCTGGTTATTTCCGGAGCTTGAGGGCTGTTCACATATTGACGACATGATTAATGTCTTATCAAATTATGATGTTGAAGAATTCATCTTTGAAATCAGTCTGGGATATAAAATTCCTTCTTCACTTATTATGTATTTACAGTTGAAGCATTTAAAACTTTCTGTTTGTTTGATCAAATCCTCTTCCAACCTTCAAGGATTTAATTGACTGATCACGCTGGAATTGTGTGACGTCAACATTGATGCTGAAGTACTACAAAGTTTGATATCCAGCTGCCCGTTACTGGAGCAACTGTTGCTGGATCTCCTAATTGAATTTGACAACTTGGAAATTGATGCTCCTATGCTAAGACTCTTTCAACTTCGATGTTTCTGTTCATCTATTTATATAAAGAGATCCCAACATCTTGTAGCAGTTATAGTTACTGCTCACGATCATTATGCAGTTGACGACATTAACTATGGAAACTGTAACTTCGTTAAGTTCTTTGATTCCCTTTCAGCCCTTCATAAACTGTGCATGGACTTCCCGCCCTTGTTAGCGCGGTTAACTATGTTCAACCATAATTTTTCCTTCTGCTTTCTAGACTTCGTCTGCATGTCAAGTCCAAACAATGCTTCCAACTTCCTTAATCCACCTTAAAATTCTCAAGTTACTCAATATATGTTTAGATTCAGTGAATGAACTCTCACGTGTTCTTTGCCTGATTAGAAGCTCTCCCAACCTTGAGAAAATGAAAATCA